GTGCCAGTCTCATATCCCATAAATCTGAGTCTCCTGGACACATTTTCTCCCTTTCTTCTTAATTGTTTAGGTATGTGTACGTCTGCTGTGACTCCAAATATATGCATGTGTGCTAATTTTGGTTTTCTATTATACATCACTTCATATGGTGTCTTATTTATAATGCTGGACCATGTTCTATTTTGTGTGTAATTTGAATAATGTAAGGCTTCTGACCAGAATTGTTTGCTTAAGCCAGCATCTTCCAATGTGCATCTAATCATGGTTTGTAATGTGGAATTTTTTCTCTCTGCAATCCCGTTTTGGAACGGAGAAAATGGACTAGATGTGTAATGTAACATTCCTTTGTCTTTTAACCATTGTGAGAATTCTTTAGACATGAATTCGCATCCTCTGTCTGTCATAATTTGTTTTATTTTGATGTTGTGTTGTGTTTCTATGCGTTTGTAAAATTCTTTAAATTTTTGAAATGTTTCATCTTTGTGTTTTAATGTGTAAACAAATCCATAGCGGCTATAATCGTCCACTATTGTCAGGAAGTAACGTTTCCTATAAGTGATTGATGGAGTTAATGGACCAACTAAGTCCATGTGTACTAAATCAAAAATTTTGTTAGTTGATCTGGTAGATTTTCTTGGCCTGGGACTAGTTTTTAGTTTTGTAGATTTACATACTGAGCATTCCAAATAATTTTCACAATTCTTTATTTTAACACCTTCTGCGTGTTCAGTCATTTTTTGCACTACAGGAAAACTGGCATGTCCTAACTTCCTATGCAATATGTGAGCACACTCATCATGAATTGGTTTACCTATCTTTGGCTTCTTATCGTTGTGTGCATCTGTGTGATCATGAGATATTTTACATTCATCATTGTCACTGTTGCTAACATTCTCATCATCTATTTCAATACAATCTTCCATATTTGAATCAATGTTATGTAACCATTTTTCTTTTGTTATTAGGTAAGGTAGTCCTCCTTTAGTCACCACAGTGCCTACATTTATTTTATTCTTTTCCAAAGTTGCCTTTCCTTTTGAAAAGACAATGTTAATGTCAGAATCTCTGCTTAGTTTTATGGCACTTAATATGTTATGAGGTATTTCAGGTATTAGTAATACCCCCTCTATTTTTCCTAAACCAGGCAAGGTTACATTTCCTCTACCTAATACTTGAACCTTTTCTTGGTTAGCTACCTTAATTACAAATTTATCTTCTGCAAATGAAGACAATATACTTTTGTTATTAGTGGTGTGATTAGTTGCTCCAGAATCAATAAGCCAATTATTGTTCTCACTTTGTTGTGTGTTAGTGTTGTCTTGTTTATTTAATCCATTCAGTGAACCAGACTTTCTATCCTTTGAATTGTCTCTGCCCCCTCTATTCTCTCTGTGATTTGGTGGGCTCCTATATCTATGCCTTTCTATGGAAGGCTGTCTATAATCGTATTTGTTTCTGTATTCTGATCTATATCTTTCTTTTAAGAATTTTGGGCAATCTCTTCTATTGTGTTCCCTGGATCCACAATTATGACATTTAAATGTTCCACTATATTTTTCTTGGAAAGCTACTTTCCTATATGGTTTATGTTCTGTGTGATTGTTAGAACGATTCCTTCTAGAATTATCTTCTGTTATCAATTTGTTAGATAGACTTTCTATGGATAAATACCCTAGATTGATTGTGTCTAAATGTGACATAAAATTGTCCCATGATGGGTCAAGTGAGTTGATAATGACACTTTTCATTGTTTGGTCTGAAATCACCTCCCCCCTCAAATGCAGTTCAGCTCTTATTTTGTTCAAAGATATTAAATGTTCACTTATGGAAACCCCTGGTTTTATCCTAGATGAAAAGAAGTCTTTAGATATCCTTGTGGTGGTGGCTACACTGTCACTGTGAAACAAATTAAACATGCATTGAATAATTTCTGAAACAGTCAAATTTGGCTTAATGCTGTGATACATTGCAGGAGACACACTAGATATTATTAAGAAAAAAGCTCTATGGTGTAAACAATCTATTTTTAGTGTCCAAGGTCTTTTTGGGGGACTAGTGATAAAAAACAGTAAGTTTTCCTTCATAAAGACAACCTGGAGCTGTTGATACCATTCTTGTAAATTAATGCCATCAACCCTTAGTTTTGGGAAGTCACTGGGTAAATTTCCGACATTATTGGGTCCATTACTTACAACCTGAGGTAGTCCGTGGTCTCGTAAATGCAGAAAATTGCAAAACGGCGTGGGGATGCTCGCTACGAGTCTGCATGATCTTCTCTCCTGTTCATGTCTTCCCGGATCGTCAGCGTAGTTTCGCGCATGCGCGTTGCTCATTTCTTTTTCGGCGTCGTCGTGGAAGGTTCTCCTCATTGCGGCTTGCTCGCTCTGCTCTTCTTCAGATGAGTCGGTCTCTGGTTCGACTTTGGGGGTTCTGGCGACGGTGGCTGTTCTTCCTCTTCTATTGAGAGCGTTGGTGCTTGCTTCGGTCTGCGGCGTAGGGCGGTATCGGCAGGGCTCTCTGGGTTCCGGTGTCAGCGCTCTAGTAGTCAGGATGGGAGCGGGCAGGTCTTGAGGCATTGGCTTGCTCGTTCGCTTTTTTGGTGTCTTTTTAGTAATTTTCAGTTTTGGCCCAAATGCAGCAAAGAGCGTTTTCATCGCTGATTTTATTTGGTGTTTTGTTGGATCTTCCTCGCTTTCTGGTTCTGATTCTTCTGAGGTGTTTGAATCTTCCTTTTCGTTTTCGTTGTCCGATAATATTTTTCGCGCCAGAAATTTTGAATTGAGCTTGCTGATTGGCTCTGCTTCGTTCATCTTGGAGGCCGGTTGAAACCAAGATGGCCGCCATTCAAATTTTTGCGCGGGATCATCGTTTTTCTTCTTTGTAATGATTTTCTCCGCAGTCATATTACTCACTATTTTTGGATCTTTGGGTTTTTCATTGGTGATGTTTTTCTCTCTCGCTGCTCCGCTGTTCTTTAGCATATCTTGGAGGTTCGCGATGAGGCTTTCATCATTCTTCTGGCTTTTTAATAGTTTTAATATCTCTGACCTGAGTTCGTTATTTTCTATTTCGATTTCCTCCTGGTCATCAATTATTTCTTCGTCTTCAGTGGTGTATTCTTCGGATTCTCTCGAAATTGCATTCGTGGATTCGTTGATTATTTCTTGTTCCGTTTCCATTTCTTTGCTGTAGGCCCTGGTGTTGGGCCTATCTTTCTTAGACATTTTAAAGCTTTTTATTGAGTCAATTAACCATCCTCTGCTACCAGTTTGTTGCAATATTTTCAGGATCAGACTCAATAAGATCAACAAGAGTTAAAGATTTAACTATATATTCTTTTATTTACATTAGGCATTCTATATTCACTGAATATTCACAGATAGAAGCAAGGGAAATGGTGTAGGTAGCTCCTTATATATACAATGGGTGGAGCTATATGTGGGAGTGGTGAATTATGAATACATTAAGAAGTGAAGAATAAGTTAACCCCTGATACCCTGTCTGTACACTATTTACACATTGGAGAATAAGGCATTTACATCTGACAGGGATCTTTTCCAGATGTCTGGTAAAGCTTTTTTGGTTAAAGATCTATGGGCTGAGCTGGTCTTTTCTACATGCAAAGCATACAGTTTTCTGAGCAGTGATCTATTGGGAGAGGACAAAAAGATATAGGAACAGGACTTCACCTTTCTCTTTATTTCAAGGAAGCTCATGGTTAGGAAAAGACAAGAGAAAAGAAAAGACCTGTTGGGATAAATGCTACAGAGATTTAAAGAAGCTGTGGTGATTGTGTCATTCTGATCTCCAGTTTAATTATGCATGGGCAAAAACAATATTCTCCTCTGACTAAAGATTAATTCATATGGAAAGCTTCCTTAAAAACCACAGTGTTTTTAAGGAAGGAAGAACAGTGACTTTGTATACATTGCTGATGCAAGCTACGTAATCTCCACCCTGTCTGTGCCCCATTCATTACCTCTGAAGACAACCCTATGGTAGAACAATTGTTGAGGGTATCTTTTTTTAAGGCCAGCATCAGTCAGATGCTCAGCCATAAAAGAAGAATTTGACCTTGCTGTATGAGATTAATCTAATTCTAAGCTATTTATAATGGGGGGGGGGTTATAAAAGGGAGGTTTTAACTTGTTTCAGTTCATGAACTACATCCTGGCAGCCAGAGCAAATTCTATGCAGAGTCTGGTGGTAAAATTTTCTGGAGCAAACCAGGACATTGCAATACAGTATGTTTTTCTCTGAAATTCATCAGGAATGGAATAATCTACCTGTTCCTCCAGCTACAGCACAGAGCCCATTTGTTATTGATAATCACTAAATTTTAATCTCACTGTCAAACAGAAAAATAGGGCTCTGGGAGGGGAAATGCTTTTGTAATTCAATTTATCTCGGATGTTAATATGCTAACTAAAAAGCAACCAAAGACAGGATCAGGAAAAGTTGAAGGCAACCAAGAAAATATATGTTATTTATTTGATTACATACTTTACTATGTAGCAGGTGAGATTGCATTAATTGTCTTACTTTAGTTGTTATCTGCAGTTTTCTTTAATTCAGCTTTATTAGGGTTTATTGAGCTCAGCACTAACTTATGAATGACACTTTTATAAAAGTGATATCCCTGACTTCAGTTAGATCTTTATCAATGCAAAAATGAAACAGAAATTGCCTGAAAAATGCTCTGCTTTTTCCTCCTTTTTGATTCAAAGAAACATTGGATCCATTAAAAAGTTTAATTTGTTTTCTAAAACAACCACCCCCAATTGCCATAATGACAGCTATTCATCAGCTATCACTGTTTCTTCATTCCTCTATCATTTATTGAATAGGTCAGTAAATATCTTAAAGAAATATCTTAAATCCAATACTGCTCCTTTGAGAAATGCTTTTGCCATCTGCTAAAGAAGGAAAAGAGCCATGGGAATAATCCCTGAACTAAAATGCAAGAAGAAATGTTATAAGAAACATGGGTTCTCTCCTACCTTCTTGCCATTTACAAAGAAGACCAGTTCGTTCTTTTCTGGGGCCATTTTGCACTTCTTCTGAATGGAAAATAGGGATAAGTTCCTGGATCACACTCTCTAAAGTTGCCCAACACAGCTGCAGCCTCAGTCCCAGAGATATCAAAACAGGCAATATGAGAAGTTCTTAGGAATCTTTGATCTTATATTGCAACACTGGAAGAGTCCAAGTTATAAAAGAACCACCCAGAGGCGTGTCAGCTTCACTTGGCTGGGATTTCATACTCCTAAAGTTAATAAAGGAAAACTAGAAAAAAAAGTAGTCTCCACCCACCTCTGTGCCATGAAATTAGATGCAATCTTCTATAGATCAGGCAGCCAAACTTTGGCAGGAGAACAAGATTGCTCGAAATTAAAGTCTGCTCTTTATGTTCTTCCACTTGTGACATATCTTTGCCATAACTGATTCTAGAGTAGCAGTTCTTAAACTATTTGACCCAATTACCTCCTTTCCCAGTCTTGAATAATGTCCTTACCTCCATTAAAAAGAGCCCAGACTCTATTATTTCACTAGCTGTCCAGACTGGATTCTTGACACACAAACAAGCAATTGCAAATTGCTCTATTTGATATGCTCAGATATCCATTGGGGGTAATTAATGCCAGTTTAGAACCAATGTGTCATATCATCATAACTAACAATAACTTTGTTAGTTTCTCTCAACTTTCGCTTTTAAAAAGCTGTTTGAACCTGAGGTATCTGTGCTTATAAACTATATAATTAGAATGTAACTTAAAACACAAATTAGATATATTCATTCAATTGATTTTGTAATTCTCAAATCCTCGTAATTAATTAAAAGAAATTAATGCATTCATCTTGGGCAATTATGCTTTTGCAGGATCAAATTTATCAGACTTGGTTATGTTTACTACCTGGATGATTGATTGCCTGACACCCTGTTGGCAACCTTGAGATTGGTGGAAGAAAGTTAGAGAGATTAAAAATACTTAAACATTTACCCACTCTACTTAATGATGAAAGAGAAAGTAGAATATTTTCTCATCTGAACTTCCTGCTAACCCATTGTGTAGCCCAAAATAACTGTAGGCAAATGGCCTCTACATTCTTCATCCCTGCTTGTCTAATGATCCAAACAATATAAATTCAAGTACAGAGTACATGTTCTGCAAGCCAAATATCTCAGTTTCATCCTTGGTATTTTCAGTCTATGCTTCTCAGACTGAAGATGAAAAAGAACAGGAAGATGTTCAAACACAGAGACACAGACCATCCACTAGGCATAATCAATTAATGAACTGATTTATTAGATGATAATTTAATATTCATAAAACTTTTCCTTCCTGGCTGGCCAGGTAAGAGCACCAAAGTCACTTAAAGCCTGCTAGTCATTATGTGTGTAAGAAATGAAGAACAAAACTGAGATGTGGCTGTAAGGCCAATTACTACGGGTGGGGCGGAGACTCTATATATTGTGGAAAAAGCATAAAAATTTAGAATTGGTTTAGGTTTGCTAAGGACTTTGATAAGATTTCCTAAAATGAGGTAAACTTATAAAACTATGAATCAAAACTATGAATCAAAAAGAGCCTTGGTACTACAGTGGTTTAAAGCACCCTGTTATTAACACAGCTGCCTGCAATTTACTGCTGGTTCGAATCTCTCCAAGGCTCAAGGTTGACTCAGCCTTCCATCCTTTCTAAGGTAGGTTAAATGAGGACCCAGTTTGTGGGGGCAATAAGCTGACTTTGTATAAATATACAAAAGTATGAAGGCTATTGCTTAACGCACTGTAAGCCGCCCTGAGTCTCCGGAGAAGGGCGGCATATAAATCAAATTTAAAAAAAAATTACATATTGGACCTTATGTTTAGCAAATAAACCACTGAAAGAGTCCATGCCCATTTGACGGGAGAAGACTGGATTTTAAAAATATTAAGGCTTAAAAAGATTAGAATGAACTGAGGCTTACAAAGAATACAAAAAAAGAAAAAAAAACAACCCCAAGGAATTTTAAGATAGGTGCAGAAGAAGAAGAATGTGAACGAAGTAGTCAGTTTGCTGATCGGAGAAGATAACTAGATGGTGACAACAAACAGGGAGAAGTTTGAACTACTTAATTCCTATTTTGCTTCTGACTCTTTGCAAAGGAAAAATGTGCTCCAATCTGTCAGAATATGTACAACAGGGCAGGGACTGAAGAGAAATGCAAGTCAAAATAAGCATGAAGATGGTAAGAGAGCACTTACTTGCTTTGAATAAATTCAAGTCACTGAGACTGTATGGATGACATCCCCAGGTGCTACAGTAACTGGCAGATACAATTACAGAACTATTTATTATCATCTTTGAAAACTTCTGAAATAGAGGAAAAGAATAGACAAGAGGTAGCCTTTTACCAATTTTTTAAAAAAATAGTGGGAGGGGGAGAGGATAGATACCACTCAGTTTGACATTTACTGTATACCTGGAAAAATCCTAGAAAAAATAACCAGACAGCAAGTTAATTGCTAGAAACCAGCATAGTCGTGTTAAGAATAGTTAATGCCAGAAAAATCTTGGGGGTTTTGTGGGGACATCTAAGAGACTGAACTATTCCACCAAGGAAATGATGCCAATATCTTTATCTTTAATCTTTATGAAGATAAAGATTGTCTTGTTCTTTGGCCAAGAACAAAAATATTAGAACCAGTTTTATTTTTTTAAACTTAAAAAAAAGTATAGCCTATTTGCTGATTTGCTAAAGCAACTGGAATTTTTTTTAAAAATGTATTATATATTAGCTGTTATTATTCGTCTTCAGGAGTTCTTCAGCATCGTCTTAAGTTCAGCACCAACCTAACATAAAATTTAATTAAACCATGAAGGAATTGACTGTTTGCTCAAGAGAAATTTGATGATAAGGATGTAAGAAAAGAGAAGGAAAAAATCTATTTTACAAAGAAATAAGAAATAAACAATAACAACAAACAACAAAAAAACCCTAACAATCAATGATAAAATGAAACAGTGGAGGATGGATTGCCTAACTATCAGGTGGATTTGCATTTGACTGAGCCACATACCAAATGTATAATCCAATAAATAGACCTATGTCTACATGGAGGAAGGGTAGTTTATGGTTTTGTCTTCTGCTCACTGATCTTCAACACTTTGGAATTACTTAGGCAAGGAGATAGAAGGGATATTTATCAAATCTGCAGATGACACAAAACTGGGAGGAAGGGATTGCTAGTACTTTAGAAAAAAGGCTAAAGCTTGCTTCTGGCATGAGGAATGGCTGAATGAAAACATAACCACAAATTAGTAGAGACAATAACTGCTGTGAAAATGAAAAACCAGTGAGTAGAATAAGTCTGATCCTTAACACAGAAGGTAAACAGGATAAGTTGTTTGAATTTTTCTGATCATATATTTGTCTCAGTAGTTGGCAGCATCTGACTGACTTTGAGTTTGGAAGCTAAGCAGAGTTGGGCCTAGTTGGCACTTAAATGGAGACTGAGAACTCAAACGGGGATTACAAAAATATAGAAAGTGAGGTAGCAAAGTGAATACAAAGATGAGGCATTCATCTAACTTGGTTTAAACTTTGAACCTGTACATACAATCAAGATAAGATAAATGTGAAAATAGATGTGAAGTGAGTGAGACTGTAGTCCCATATTTTGGCTAATGTATACTTGAATGCCTGCATAGAATTTACAGAAATATATTGATATATAGATACTGCTCTATCTCTACAATGAAGAACCTTGAGAAAGATTTTAGCTGTATTCCAGGATTTTCATATGTAGGTTTTCAAATAAATGTATTTAATTCAGAGAGCAGAAATATCCTATTTGGACAATCATAATAAATAATAAGCTTATTAAATATCTATTAAAAAAGCAAAAGAAAATAAAAGGTCATTGAAAATAGCAGCACAGTTGCCAATAGATTATTAACACTATCTTAATACTTAATACAATATCTTGATTCTGATGTACTTTGTACTTTGTCCCACAACAAATTATATTACAGTGATGTAAACTCAGCTTGATTTTGAACATGATTATATACAGAAAGGGAAAGTGCATTCAGGGTTGTGGTAGTCCCCTGTTCATTGTCCAGATCTATCCAAATAAGTTCAGCAAACAAAAGCAATGTATGTTGGAAATGATAGGTTCAGGGCTATCACTGTGAGTTATGGCTGACTGAAGACATCTTTCAAACGAGTAGAGATGACAACCTTCTCTCTCTGGAGAAGAAGAGAAAAGGACATCTCTCAATTCTTTCATGAATGCTCTGAATGACAGCTTCTCACAAGAAGACCATAAAACAGCAGTCTCCTCCAAGTTTAAGAACTATAAGCCACACCTTCAGTCTCAGCAGCAGTGGGGCCTTTTATAAAGACACTGTCAGAAGCACCTTCAGAAATGTTTAATTTAATCACTTAATGCAGAGGTGTCAAACTCGCATCGTCACATGATGTATCAGGACTTTAAATGGCTATGTCAGCTGTAATTTTTCTTATCTTAAATCTTATCTTAGTTTTTTGAAATATGGATTGAGATATTAATAACTAATATCTCAGAAAGGATTCTGATTGAAGTGGATAAACCTTTAGAAGATGATGAGAAAATCTTTTAAAACAAGCTTTACCTGACATACACATTCTAGAATTTGAAGGCATAGCAGACAACAAAATTGAGACTACTAAAATGGGAATACAAAAGATAAGTCAAGAAGACAACTGGACATAGAACAGCTGCAACAATAAATTCTGGACAATTCATTTTTATGGCATTTACGAAGTTAGGCTAGTGAACATTTTGAAGACTATTTAAATGCCAAAGATCAAATCCTGGAATTCCACAGGAATGCAGAGTAAATTGTGCAGAGTAAAAATGGAATATAAAATTGGACTATTTAACCAAAGAAGGTTAATAGATTTGAACACTGAGCTGTATCCAACAAAATTCTGTTCAATGGCAAGAAATGCAAGTTCTGCCATTAGATGGTAAGAACCAGATGCAGAGATACAAAACAGGTGGTATCTGACTCAACAGTTGTATTTACAAGAAGGAATAAGTGTCCTAATAGACCACAGATTAAGCAGGAGACAGCAGAATACTACAGCTGCCAAAAAGCCAATGCAATATCACTGCACCAACCA